GACTTGGTATGGGGTATATATATTGACAAATTATATTTAAAAAGCTCACTTGGTTCACATGATAAAAAATAAAGTTGGTGGAAAACACAGCTGGTCCAAAGTGTGTTTGGAAAAAAAAAAAAGACAAAGCTACTGAGTTCAAAATACAATAAAATCATGAAGTAAAGATACCAAGTTTGTACCATCTGTTAGGCAGAGTCTGGATCCAAAGCACATCTGCTGATAAAAATGAATAATGTATCCATCTTGTATTATAATCACATGCCTGTACACTAACTAAATACACAAACAGAGAAATCGTTTGCGCTTCTCCCTGCATACTTTCAAATGCACGTGGAGCAGCGAGGCTATACGGTCGTCTTTACTCTGCGGCTCATTACTTCATCACTGCAATGTTGTGCTTTAACCTTCAGCCCTGCCACGAGCCTCACTTTTCTCCAGCAAATGGCAATGTCCAATTAGTTTAAGAATAACATTTATTCCCCTCTCTTACTGCACCTAAAAACAGTTGGACTAGCCAATAACCTTTAGCGTACACAGGCTGTGACTTTGCCTTCACCTCAATAAAGCGCTCCATGATTGAATCAAGGGGCTGAGGTCAATAGGACATATGTTCATTTCCCAGGGTCCTCTAGGGTCCCTACAGGCAGAAAAAAAATATGCTGAGTGTCTCCTGTGACATTTATTGGATAGGAACTAAGTTATATCTCTCGATTTTTTTTTTTTTCCTCCCGCATTTCATCTCTTTCACTTCCAGAAAAGGCACAACTACTCTATTTGTGTGTGTGTGTGCGTTGGTAAGTGTGTGTGTGCACATGTGTCTGCGTGCATGTTGTGTGTGCTTACACAGTATTTTAACCCCGTGGTCACGCTTCAGGCACCAGCACATACTACATCTGTCACTGTCTCCACAAACGTCACCTCGATTTTCTGCGAACAAGTTTCACTCCTGTGCCTTGAAGGACAGATACTTCTCCCTCTCTGTCTTCTCTCGCCGTCTGTCTCTGTCACTCCTTTCCTGCTCCCATCGCTTTACATTTGTCAGCCTCCGACACTGTCTTTTGTCAGCTGCCTCCCCACTTTTCATCATTCCTCCTTTATTTCGGTTAAATCGCGGCAGCAGCGGTGGGGAGAGTTATAATACGGTAAATTCATTTCGAATTGAGTTGAGGCTTTTATAGGTAATTAATTTTCCACTGTAGCTTTCACATTTGCTTTGTCCATGAGAGCTCAAATGACTAATTCTCTGTGGGATTCTTGTCACCCTGCTGCAGTATTTCCCCTTCCTGGGCAGCCGAGTCCATTGGCTGATGACAACCAATCATGTAAATTAACTGTGACTTTTTAATGTTCATTACAAGTGACAGGTGCAAAGCAAAGCATGTTCATTCACTAAAATCATGCTATTATATCTTCACTGCACTGCAAATGTTGTACACTGTGCAAATATTTAATGAGTATATTTTTTGTTAAATAAGCTCAGCATATCCCATACTGTCCTATAATATTAGAGGTTGTACTTTTGTTTTTGAAGAATTAAAAAAGAGTACAACATATTTAAAAGTAATTATCACTGGGAATTATCAGAAAAATGGATCAGAGCTGATATTCAGCATTTTCTGATCATTTAGATATGTTTTGAACCAATTCAAAGTAAAATAAAGTGATTTCAAAATGTGTATCTTGAACTCTGATGCAGCTTCCTCTCTGTCTGCAATTACCAGTCTGTGCTCTTGACAACGTCCCGCCCACAGCACGATCTGATTGGCTACACGACACGAATGAGCCAATCAACACTGAATTGAAGGACACGTGTTGAATCAATGGAAATATTTCAGTAAAAACGATACATTTTGTGTTGAACTTTGTTTCATTTTAAATTTTGAGACCAAGATTTTAATTTTTTACCACAAAATGTACATGAGTTTCAAATATTGGTAACCAGTCTACATGAATCCTAATCATTGATATTGGTATTGGTCCTAAAAAAATTAATTAAAAATAAATAAAAATAAAAACATGTCTGTTCTGCAAAGTGGAGCGGTGGTTACCACCATTGCCTTGCAGCTACAAGGTCACCGGTTCGCGTCCCAGTTAGGACACCTGGCATCTTTCTGAGTGGAGTTTGCATGTTCTCCCCGTGCAGCGTGGGTTCTCTCCGGGTTCTCCGGCGTCCTCCCACAAGGTCCAAAAACATGTTGAGGTTAATTGGTGATTCTAAATTGTCCATAGGTGTCCCCTGCCTTCACCCTGAGACAGCTGGGATAGACTCCAGCCCCCTACGACCCTAGTGAGGATTAAGCGGTGTATAGATAATGGATGGATGGATAGATGGATTTCAGTTGACCCCCAATTAATATCATTCTGGATCATAATTGGTTCACAATGTCTACTGTACTGAAATAGGAAATGTTGATTTGACCTTTTTTTATCTGTACATCTTGTTTCTAGCACCCACACATACATGTGTATGTGGAGGAGTAATGTTTTCAGTGGTCACCATTTTATTTAGCATGTTAGCACTAGAACTAGAAGGAAATTAAAGGGATACCAGTTACAACGGCTACGATCCATTCTGGAAGGGACATCGATAGTTAAAAAGACACTTCAATCAATCTCATGGTGGTGCTATAGAGAAAGTATGGGGATCACTAAAGTTATTAGAACTAGAACCTTTATTGTTCATACAAAATCTCATGGGTTGTTGTGATGTGTCAGTGTGGACGAAAGCGGTGGACCGGTGACAAAGCAGCATTACCACCTCTGCTGCTACGATGGTTAAAACTAAAGAAATACACATAATAACACTTATAGTGGGGATTCAAACGGCATTAATTGTGGAAGAACAGAAAACTCTGGTACTCTGTTACTGTAGAGTTATTTTAATGCAATCAGTCTCAATGTACTGTATTTGGAAGACCGTGTTAGCATCAAAAGAAATAAAGGCCTCATAATTTAAGATGCACACGACAGCCCTTTGCGATGCATTTATAAAAGAGCAATATTAATGTACTCATTATGCGCCTATTGTGATATATATTCAGCACACGACATTAATATAATTGCATGGCTGTTTGGTCTCACTTCAGAGAACTCCATACTGGAAAATGATTGCCATCCCGGATTCTTCCCTGTTATTAGAGCATCATCACACAGTGTGCCTGTCTGATTTCGGAGTGACACATATAATAAACTCGGCGAACGCAGTCCTTCGCCAAGGCCAATGCCCTGTCTTTGATCTGAATCTGCACCAAACGTTAATTGGTTCTTCCTTTGTTATGCTCCTCCTCTCCACCAAGATCCATGAAATTCAGCTCTTTAGTTTCTACACAATCCTGCTGACAGACAAACAAACAAAAGCAGCCAGGGCAAGAGCTGAGGCTCTATGTCACAAAAAAAAGGAGTAATCAGAGCTCAAAACCAAGCCACCTCTTAGTCGAAGCAAGCTCTAAGCAAAAATTACTATCACATTAACAAGACTAAACAAATTATTTGACACATGCGCCGACAGAATAAGGTCAGTCCTCCTTTTAACACTCCTCAGCTCCTCAGTTCTCTCCTAAACTCCTTAACTCAGCAGCATTTGCCATAGGGGATTCTGTTTTACCATCTAGCCCCAGGGTGACCCATGAATCCGTGTGACCTCCGAAGGATGAAGTAGGGAGGCATAATTCATCCAGGCAGCTTCAACAAGTCCTCTCTGTGTTCCCCCTCGACCTTAAAACCTGGCAGTAAATTTAGTGAACTTCGAGTAATAAACTCTCCCCCTCGAGGGGCTCAGCAACTCTGGGGTAGGAGCGCTGATCTAGCATTACCATGATACCATTTGACCATCTCTTTCATTATAATTCAAAAGGTGAAACGGATACTGCGGGGGTATTATTATACTAAAACCTTGATGTCTGCCCAGGAGATCGAGCCGGGGTAGAGCACCGCATGCTGACGCAGCTCAACGGAGCAGGGGATCGACAGTAAAGGATGAGGAGCTGCGCAGTGTCTGAGGGCATGGCTGTGGTTGTTAACCCTTGTCACCAACACATCCTTCTTTCGGCACATTCGTGTTATTATTCAGGCCCATCCCGGTGTTTTTGGATTTGCTAAAGCTGCTCCCCGCGGGGACTGTCGGACCATCTGCACTCATTCTGATGGTCATGAGGCCTGCTGACCTTCTGCTCCTTGCCCTCCTCGCTTCATTCCAACGCTCCGGCTAACATATACACACATACATTTGGTGGCTGCATGCAACCTGATGGATTCCTGCCCGAGACAAACTGCAGTGAAAGGCTGTTTAGCCGGCAACACCCCACACTTGACACTCGCAAAGGCTGCGATTCAGCGAGTTGAGACCGTCACCTGTTAGGAACACACTCAGCCCTTGTTTAAACCTGTGGGACTAAAGCAGACACACAGCTGCTGCGTGTCTGACAGTGGATTTCCACCTGTTTCTCAACCATAAAATCGACCCGTATTGGAACGAAAGTAGGGAAATTTTATCACGTATAATTACTTCAGCACAATTGGTTGAGTTGAAAGTGCAAAAAGAACATCAACGCAAAGTAAATATCACAAAGATTGAGTTATATCTTAATGAAAATGAAAGTTATTTTTGCTTCAATGCATATGCAGGAGATTATCTAAAGGTTATACTGAGCAAATCTGAAGCTAATTTTCTAAAAAAAAATAAAATACTTTCTTTGAAGATTGATATTAAAATCCCTGAAAATCCTCCAACACATCAGGTGATTGGGAAATTTAATTAAAATGTTTTCCAAAGCTTAGATGATTATTATCTGGTGGCGTAGGTATTAGAGCTGGGTATCAGATAGAACTTCTAAGTAATTCTTAGCCAAATGTTTACAGATCTGGTTCAATCTTTTGCTCTGTTTCGCTGTTGACATTCATATTTTGCGTGCTTTTGATGATGAACACACCCTTGTTTGCCACATCCCTCTTATTCAAATTAGCAACATGACAAACATTCAAACACTGACAGAACTTACTGGCTACTTCCAGGGACGCATTGTGACTGATGGCCTGGCCCAGGTAGTTTCGGGCCACGCACACGTAGCTGCCGTCGTCCGGTTTGCTCCGCCGTCCGTGGACGATGCGCAGGAAGAAGAGGGACCCACTGGGCAGCAGCATACGGTGGGAGCGGGGGTTGTCACGGTCCGTCTCCACGCGCTCCCCATCTTTGTACCATTCCACCGTGGGAGCTGGACGGCCCTCTGCCTTGCAGTTGAGAGTGGCTGGTTCCCCTTTGGACACAATGAGGTCAGAGGGGTGCTCCACGATGCGGGGAGGGAAGTCTTCCTGGCGAAGACGTGACCCTAAAGGGGAAAAGGTGACATACTTAATTGCCAAATTAGCTGTGTAATTGTTGCATATTTTAGTGCACAACAACAAGCGACAGTGAAATGTATCAAATAATCCTTCCACGCAATGAAGAGTACTAATAGAAAAAAAAAAGCTGCAGCTCTAAAGGAATTAGACATGGCACATTATTACCGCTGTGCAAGTGCCTCGTATTAACAATCATCCAGTTTGACAATATAATTACCACACAAACACGTGTCCCTCATAAAATGTTTAGCTTTTGTTTCGGCAGTTGGAACCCCACGAGGCACTGTAAATTAAAAAAAACAATGCTGACATGAGAAATCCTCAGGAAGTAATATCTTTCAAAACATGTCTAGCCTTCAAAAAAATGTATTTGCAAAGACATAATTATATAAAGCTTCTGAGAACAGCTTTGAGGCTGAATTATAATGGGATTATAGCATTATCTGTGCTTCCACCGACACAGTGCTGGAGATGTTTGTGTTCATTTTCACTGATTTGAATATTTAATAGTTTTAAATGTATTGAAACTTCTGGTCCTCCAGCTAACGGTACAAAATCCCCAACTGTGGTTCTGTATTCAAAGTACACTAAACGAACAACCAGGGAAACAAACATGCTCGATACAACATTCACTCCACAAGTATAGCTTCCTGTTCTGGATCGTCAACACGACCCCTCACTCTCTCCCCCAGCTAGTGTGTGTGCGCATCCAGTTGTGTGTGTGCATTTCTGTGTACATGTATTTATGCTACGCGTTCACTATTTGAAGCCAACTGGACCACAGCCTCTGAAGCCGTTATAGAAAATGCGAATCAATACCTCCACAGCCATAGCCGCGCTAACAACCACAAAATCACCTCTAATCCCTGATACACTGCTGAGATGTCAATCACGCTGCTCCTCTCAAAGAAAACTGTGCAAGAATGACTCCTAGTGAGGCAGAGGACAAAGCAAACCTCCTTAATGAGATCCAGGTACACAACTCCAATGCCTCTGTGCAGTACATCTTACATTCCATTCATCTCTCTGCAACCCCCCCAACACAGACAAGCATGCACAATAGTCCACCTAAAACCATTTTCTCTCCCTTTTTCCTGCAGTGTTTTTGTCAATCAAGGTTGGACTCTGAAAAAACAGCTACAGGTGCCATTATTTTAGAGCATTAAGTAAGTGTGCTAGATTGCAAACATCGCTATAGAAGATGGAACAGAGGAAGAAAACGTGGCATTAATATCTGCAATGCGACCACTGTTTACCTGTTTTATTGCTGTGGGAACACTTTTTCTGTTCTTTCATGCTGCTGCAAACAGTAGGTTCGCTTGCACAGCCTTCGGCAGGTCTCACTTTAATGTGCCAATGGCCCTGTAAAGCAGATAATCACCACCGTGCTAGAAAGTGATGAGCTCCTACACTCCCGCTGCAACCAATAAATCCCACACAGACAAGTGTTTACCCAGATAGATAGCACCTCACACGTCGTGAAACGGGTGAGAATCTGATCCACTGGATTTTGCGTCTTCACAAATCTGCATTTACTGTCCTCTCTAAATGCTCGAAATGATGAAATTTGAGGCAGCGCGCAGCCCCCCTACCTTAGACAAAAAGTCAGGAACAATAGGTGTATGGTAAGTATGCAAGCTGATCATTAAAAACTGAAAGACATGCTGACATTTGCGTACTTTGCAAAAAAAAAAAAAGGTTCACATTCTATGGATGGCAGTCTGATTAAATGGATGTGGGCTGCTGAGATAAGCCCTTCCACTGCCTGAATCTTACTCCTTTTTTTATTATTATTATTAATTCCTTTATGCCATTGGCTTCTTTTGTCTCCTTTTCACCTGCCTGTGCTGTCAAGTGTCTGAACCGGCTAAATGGCTATATGCTAATGTATGCAGAATTTGACAAATTTGACAAAAAAAAAAAGTTAATTTCTACAAAAGCCAGGTAATTACTCATGTAAAAATGCTGCTCAGAAACATTCAGCAGCCCTGCATGAGTTCTTCTTTTTTTTTTTTTTTCATTTAACAAGAATACTAGCAGAGCCTTTATGTGCACCTGGAGGTCTGTGACAAAAGCACTGGACTGGTTGTGACCAAATCGAAAATCATTCTGTCAGGCAACAGTTTGGGATGTACGCACACCACCAAGAGACCATTTAAAAAGTTCACACAGATAACAAAAAGGAAAAAAAAAGCACTTATCCCTCTTTAGTCATGCAGATGGTTTTGGATTCAGCCAGGTTTTCTTTCTTTTTTTTTTTTTTTGGTTCTTAGATTTCAGCTTCCAGCCCGGAACAATGGAGGCGAATTAAACCAAATATGATTCTGCAGCAATGCTAATATCTCTGTGAATCTGTAGCAGTGTTTTTATGATAATATTATTATGCTGACAATGATGAAGGTGTAAAGCATATAAGGTTTGGCAACAATCACAAAACAGGAAGTACAACAGTGGCTAATGGGAATGTCGTCAGTTTTAAAGGTAGATGCTCATATGTTTAACTACTAGATACACCATAGATTAAACAGTAAAGTTGAGTTTTCATCCATTGGGCACCATAGGTATCTGCATCAAGATTGTGCATTAGCTGACCAACAGGCACTTCTATCTGTGCGATATGCAAAGTAAATCTGGTAAGTGATTCTTCAACAGCACAGCCTGAGAAGGTAACAGCACGTGGGCAGGTTTGCAAATGCACTAACACTAATTAGTGTGCCCCCAGAAATGAAGCACAAAAGAATGTCTCCTGAATGAGCAAAGAATTACTGTCACATTTTATGCCGAAAGGAGTTCAGAATCATTCAGAAAAAAAAAAGGACAGAGAGTAATCTCAAGCTACATAAAGAAAAACCCGACATGTCGCCACACAAAGCAAATGAAAGAAAAAGAAGCCAATACCACGCATATAACCGGAGGCAAAAATTGTAAATATTTAATTTAAGTGCAATTTTACACACTGTCGAGATGCTTAAAACGGTATCAAAACAATACAAACAGCCGCTGTGGCCTTCAGTCCCTGTTTACGGCACACATACCTCTTTCCTTGTTCTTAATTGTGTTGGGCTGATGCCTAAGGGTCCATGTAACTCCCTAAGCTCCCTGGCATTACTGAAAGGCAATATCAGCCCGCCACAAGTGGGCCCCCAAAAGACCAGGCTTTATCTGCAAAGGGCCAGCAGCCAGCATTAAATCAGTATGCAAAAACATGCACACAGGTGCACAATGGAGTACATACATACACACCAAAGGTCATTTGTAGCACCTGCGCACCTACAAATATGTTGTTTTGTTGTTGTTTTTTTTCCTTCCTCAGTCAGTCATCCCTGAGGCGGTCCTATTGTCTTGTGAAGATGTCTGTGTTGTTTTGTCTCAGACAGTAAGAAAAGAGGTGAGTCTATTTTCTCCATAACTGTGCTTCCGTCTGGAGAATCAAATAAAACGTGCAGAGAAGAGAAAAAAAAAACATCGGGATAACAAGCTAGGAGTTTTGCATCTTATTCAAATTGTGGAAATGTAAAGCAGAAAAGAAGGCAAGAAGGGATAAATTTTAGGAGGAAAAGAGGTGGTGATGAAGAGGGAAGATGTGGGGGGCAGAGGGGGGTTAAAATAACAAATCATGAGCACTGAGATTGTAATAACACAATGTGAATGTAATTTAACGCAATGTTGGTGGTCCTGGGTCGGCCCACCCCGGTCTTATTTACAGTACAAAACTATATGTACGGTATTTAGCGCGCATGAAAGGAGGCTACTATGACTGTTTGGATTCGAACCAAAGACAAATTCAGAGACAATATCAAATATCACAATCAAATTGCCCCGCGATGCTGAGGTCACCCGGCTTGACGCACACGCTGGCACACATTTTTGAGCCATTACTTGGAGACTTGGGTTACAGTTTTCAACTTTGATTCACACTCAAACTCAAAAAGTCTAAAAGAGAAATTGTCTCTGAGGTTTGCAAACAAGCGAGTATCAAATAAAAGCAGCGGGCGACGTTCATTCATGTAGAATGCAGCAGACTTAGCGTCACCCTTCGGTGCTGCCGACAGCTGTATGACACAATCAGCTTGCTTTTCTGATTCTGACACCAAGAGTGGTGGTAAATCTCCACCTGTGATACTGTGGGATTACCTGCGCTTGAGTGCCAATTCCATTTCGGAGGAGCAGGAACAAGAAGCGGCTAATAAAGGAAGCCAGATTTTGTGGGGAGGCTTAAGAGTTTGTAATAAATGGAACAGCTATGTCTTGTTAAAACAAGCCCTTTGTTTCACTCTGCAAAAGTCATTTAGTTCTTCTTTTTTTTTGTGACCCATGGGCTACATGGCGGATCAAAGTCCAGACTTTTAATGGCGAGACAGAGATTTCCAGAAGCTTCTCAGTTCATAGCACCGCTCTTGTATGTCAAATGACACCACATGTTTGAACAGACAAGTGTCCGGGGCAAATATCAAGAGAGGAAAATGAAACAAGGGAGATTTGAAGGCTAGAAGAGCTTTTGACAGACAGCCATGACAAGTTACAAAGAGACACAAATTGCCGCCACGGTATCAAAGAACACTCCAGGCGGGGAAAAAAAAAACAACATCTGAACTAAATTCAGTTTTCGGTTCGGGCTCACAAATGAAAAAAAAAGTTTGTTCTTTGACCAGCCAGAAAGCGTCACATGATGACGACACTTCTTCACCTTTGGCCTGATGTGAAATGCGTGTGTCGGTTTAAACAAATATATAAATTACAGAATGACTGAATAAGAAATGAGCGCTGTCACCCTAAAATACACTTCACAGCCCAGACAGCTGTCGGACTCTGTGACACTGAAATCGTAGCATCAAAGCATTACTGTGGCAAGTGGGTGATGTATAGTGCACACAGTCTATCTGATAATGATAATATAAGGAAATGATTCTGTTGTTAAGAAGAAGAGCAGCTACCTCGACTGTACTCCAACACAAGTCAGGTATTATGTTGACAGTGCTGCAGCCTC